TATATATATATATATATATATATATATATATATATATATATATATATATATATATATATAGTGAACAATAAGAAAGAGTATACATACGTAGTCAAGACAGCATAAAAATAGTTACACAAGTCTGTGAATAGTGAATGTCGTTATCAAGCAGTTATACTTAGACATCAGTTAGATCATCTGAATATTTGATAGCTTGACAGAACCAAATCTTATTTATCACAAACAAGTGTCCATGTCAGTGTGATTCGATCATGTGTTTATCTTTATATACTCTTGGCATTGCCTAGGAATTGCAAGTAAATGGAATGACTGTCGATAAGTGGATTGCTTGAAAATTTTCTGCATTAAGTTAGAATTCATTTTTACACACAGATCTGATAGATGATGAGTTAGTGAAGACAACCATTAGTGATTGCAGCTTTATTAAATTATATTTACCTGCATTTATCACTAGATAATAGTGTTGCATTAGACACGTACTAATGATGCCTATTTTTATGTAAGTTATGATGACTCTACAGAACGAACTTCAAGTTTATTGATCATGATGAAGAAAATTTCTAGTGTACGAGATTATTGGCAGTCAGTTGTAAGAGGTAACTGTAACTGTGGATGAAATTAAGTCGGATCCTGTTCGTGACACATTAGAAGTTTATCAGAGTACGAGATAAACAAGATGACCCTCAGATATAATAGTTTTAAATAACTACTGGCTTACGTGTTATTAGACTACTTATTTAGAAGATGTGGAACTTTGTACATTTGTGGCGTTGATATCACACTCTCTGTTGTACCCAAAAACCCTAAACTAGTAGCTTCGTGAAAAAAATCTTTTGCTGTTTGATTGAGAAACATACATAGATCACATTCGTGTACCTCTATACATTTTTAAGCTTGTGTTTTACTATTGAGTAGAGCTCTTAATAAATTTTGATCATATTCATTATCAAGTCTAAGTTGAATTTATTATAGTAGATATGAAACGGATGTTGTCTCCTACTTCAGAATGGTACGAATAGGAAACTTCTTCTTGAGTTTCTAATCTGAAGTTTCATAGCTTCTAAAGCCCTATAGACTATTTCAATCTATCTTAACAAAATAGTAGTGATGCAAACCACCAAAGATACGTTACAAAGATTGTGTAAGAAGTTGTAACTTTGACAATTTGACTAGTCAATTTCTTAAACTAAAAATGAAGTTGTTTCATTGTGCTTAACATTTGGATTCATTTACAACCGCTGTGTTTATTAATCCGCCATGATTCTTCAAACTTTCATTTCCCTTTTGATGAAACATATGTGTCTGTCTTTAGATACTAGCTGGGTTTTGATAATTGACGGTCCAGTATGCTAGAAAATTCCTCGATTGTAGTTTCTAGAAAATCAACTATAATAAAGTTCATTCTCAAATGATAAATCCCATAAAACCATTAACTTGTGCTCATGTGATACATTCTAAGCACGTTTACATAAGTTACTTTTCCCGAAATAGTTGACATATTTTATAAACAGAAATATCTAACTATTTGCAGAGTTTAGAATGTATTTGTGGTCAAAATATAACTAATCTGTTTAAAAAATGCCTTATAGTGTTCAAATATATACAGGGAAAGGGTAATTGATACTAAATTGTACATAGGTGCATAGTCAATGAGTGCAAACCTTGATAGAATTGACCTAGTCAATTATTAAATTCATATTTTCCAAAAGAATATTATTTATGTTTCCTGAAATTGAATTAAAACTACATAAAACAGATGAGTTTGTACATCAGATATCAATCAATTAATTCCTGTTTGAAGAAACACTAAACTTCAGTTATTGATTCATTCATTTAGGCAGTCAATCAGCTACAACGTAGGATCAGGTATATATATGCATCGCTTCAAGTTGCCACACCTCATTAGCACAACAAGATGAACATCAAATTCATAGAAATAGTAACTTCACTGGTAGTAATATATAGAAGAAAGATTGTATATAAGCATATAATACAGAAAGAAAGATTTAGTTGGTATTCATGATAATCTTCTTGAGAGTTATCTATACTTTGTCGTTTTCAAATTTATGTTCTATTCAGGATTTAATTCTTCTTCAATTAAAATACATTGACATAATTTAAGTGTATTTGCGGATGTTTTCTTTTTTTAATTTTCTTCTTATTTCTACTTTTCTCTTATTATATTATAATGCCTCTTTTTTCTTTAAGGGATTTTAGTAGAATTGGTCGTTTTATAACTATCTGAGGTACTTCAATATTCTAGCACTCCGAATGAGATCATTGCGATATCACCTATATCTTGACACATGATGTTTGCTAATGAAGAGGTAAGATAGAAGGAAACTAAAACAGGTCAAACTAAATGATATCAACATTAGTTCATGAAATCATTCACTGTTAGATTAAGCTGTGTTCGTCGATGCAAAATACCAGATTGGGGTTCTTATAATTATTTTAACTAATGGTTGGAGATGTTGAATGACATTGTAATGTGTGCTACTGATGTTAACGGACATCAGTAGTATGTATCATCAATCGAAATTGAAATGCCTGGTGGCAGGAGGTTAAGAAGATAGAAAAAAAGAGAATGAGAACAGAGAATGATTGGTGTGCGAACAAAAGAACAGTCAAGTTTGAGACGATTGACTGACATTTTACAAATGAAGTATTTATTGTATGATTCTCAGATTTTACGAAGTAATTATGTCATTTTGTGTTCAAATACATTTGGTTGACCTCCATTGTGTTCTCGTTCACTACAATATAAATCGAACATGAACCGGTTACAGTGATATAGATTCATTCGCCCGTTTTTTCTCATATCTTCAGTTTAAAAATTATTCCATACTATTCATCTCATTAGACCATTCTTCCTTCTCAAATCATATTTGCCTGTATCTAGTGTTTTCTACCACCACTGATACAATTAATATCTCTACTACTACTCTGGTTTTCCTCTTGATAATTTCATTTAACATTTTTGATATAGTGTAACGACTTGAATCGATTTATATATGTGTCGATTACTGTTTTACCTATAGATAAATATCAGAAAGGGTTTTATGGAGATTTTAGTAATCTCAATAGTTGGGATCGTTAGTCAATTGAAGCTAGATCATCATGGAAAACCTGGAAGCACTGGATGGCCGTTTCTTCTTAGTATGGGACTCCTCAGTAGCGCACACCCACGACTCCGCCTCACGGGACTCGAACACAGGACCTGCCAGTCCCGCGCGCGAGTGCTTAACCACTAGACCACTGAACCGGTTGGCGTCCAATGGTGCTAATGTCTAACTTCAACTAATCCACGAAATTGAATGACACATCCACCACTGTCATCAGTGAGATACTATTTCACAACTAACCCGGTTGAAATCCACTGGTCACTGCTTCTCACTAGAACTCCAGGATATACCTCTTGAATACTACATTGAGTACTCATTACATTGAATCAAAATGGAAGTAACCTTGAACAAAACTCATAATGAGTAAATCAATTGAAAATTGACTTTTCTTTCCATCATATCAATATGGACATTATTTAAAGGTAAATATGGTAACGTTTTATTACTATCATCCTTGACAATATTACTGAGTAACCTTGGCATTTGAATTCTTAGATTTATGATTGAACTCCTAAACTTCTTATTATATTAGTCTAGAACTGATATTAATATGTAAACAGTGTTTATTATATCGTTGAATAGATTTTACAAGTTGTTTCGATAAGATTTCTATTGAATGTTTATGAATATTTATGAAAATGGTAAAGAAGATTTTTAGCTTATGTGGGTTATTTTGATGAAGTTTCATTCTCTGAACTGAATGGTTTATTTATGAATTTTCCATTGCTCTTTTGAACATCACCATCACAATAAAAGTTAAGTTAGAAATCAAAATTGATTCACCTGGTATTGTTTTATTTGAATCTGCCTATTGATGTTTAGGACTGCAATTGATCAGTATCGTATTGGCATATATGCGTACCATGTGTATTGCCTCGATATAGCCTTAATTCACAGGCATTCTAAGCAAAGATGGATAGTAATTAGCAGTGAAATTAAGTATACAATACCAAGTTAATTAAGCCTCACCCGATTGCACAAGCAAGTGGCCATCAAAACTCAGTAGCTAAGTGAATAACGCGGTGGCATTTGGAGCGAATGGTACTGGTTTCGAGTCCCGGAGTGAACATCTACTCTGAGATGCAGGTACATCCGGCTGACGAGTCCCAGGTAGGACGAAACGCTCGTCCTGGATTCCACTGCTAGCCACTATCCATCTTTGCTTATAATCGAAATAGATGTTTTTACTTATGTTTGGAAGAATGATGAGAGCTTCACGATTAAATTATCTAGTTCAGAGCACAAAATCTACTAAATATAAATATTTATACTTGTAAGAAAATCTCTCATTTGTAATTAGAATAATGTAATTTACAATCTCGATGTCCAGTAAAAGTATAAAACCATTCCACTTGTACTTACGTAATATTAATTGATTTGTATTGACTAATAACTTGTAATAAAATCAAATGAGTGCTTAGCTGGACTGTTTTATAACGAACCTCAAATGAACTTTTTTTGATATAGTCGATTTAACAGGTACAGATTTTCGTATGACGGATATTTTTACCACCCCGTTGCCCAGATCAAAGTAGGTAGAGAGGGAATTTGACCTGCGACTTCGTGCTACTCAGTAACGAATAGGGACTATGTGGTAATATTTCTGCATATTCACCTTCAGTTTTACTTGATTTATTTTTGTCAATCTAATTCTGTTATAACCTTTATTTCCTTGGTGAAAAGTGTATAATATTTAACTAATTTTAGGAACTTCACAAAGATCAGTTCTAGGATAAGGTTTGATACAATCTCGTGTTCTATCACATCAATACGATACGACAAGTTGATCTCTTAGTTGGTAAATTTTAATTTACGATATTTCATGATGAAATTTTCTTGGTGGATTTATATCATTTGACTATTTCATTTCAAGTTCTAATTCTGATCAGTTGAAATTTCATCATTTTCTACGTCTTTGATAACTGAGTAAATTAATATTAGTGAAAACAATTGGAATTACAATACTCCTATCAAGGAAAACCTTGTAAAAGTATCATCCATGTATATTACTACTTTAAATATATTTCAAGTAGATATCTCACATCTATATTCAATTAATTAGCAGTTGACTATAAAAGTAAACTTTGCAGATGTATCGATGTCGATGAGAAAACAACATTCCATGAATAACTCTGAATTATCTGTATGCAATTTTGGAGAAATGACAACAGTATTTTAGGAACTATTCCCCTTAGTAAATATAATTAAATGACTATAACTTTTAGATTAGGTAGTTTTTCACTCACTAAAACTTTACAGGTTACGTAAAATCGATGAGATCAATGATCCAAGATCCGTTGATAAAATTTATAGATGTAGTATTTTGTGATGACAATCATTTTTTTTAAATTATCGACCTTTCAAGCAGTCAATCCATAAATGAATAGAACTACCGTAACTCAATGTGCTGTTTGCAGTAAATGTTTTGTAAATGATGAAAGGAAAGTTGATTAGGAAATTTCTTTTTATTATTAAACTTTATATTCTCTAAATGTTATCATTTTCTACACAGACTATATATTATAACATCTGTACTTTATGTATATTCTAAAACTTAATAAGTTTGAAAGCAGAGCTGTTACTGACCTGATACAGCCGACAATGGGAAGAGTCAGCTCTCCCTCACCAAACGCTCTCATATGGCCACGTGCATACAACCACTGCCAGGGAAGTCCTACTCACTGCCTTCTCGCGACATTATTGTTGTTTACGAAGTTGAGAGGACGAAAAGCAAATATTCGGAGCTTTAACCGGGTTAGTGGATGTAGAGAGTCCGCCTTGGGGAGTTGGAAAACCCTGATTCCAAACCAATGGTGTACACAGGATCCAGAATCCTGAGGGAACAAATGGCATATGAACTAATTATTTGTAACCGGCTACCATGGAACTGCATCTCTTTATGTTGTGCCACTACCTTGTGAATCATACCTTTAGGTCGAAGGCTCTAGCTGTGGCCCCCTAAGAACACCATCTGCTTCGGTTCGGGCCCCCGGACAGTATCACAGCGCTCACACAAATCGAATGATTTATATGGCGGATATCTATTTGGTGCCTCCTTGTACCAATATATATATATATATTCAAATAAATAAAGATGAATGTTATTGCTGTTAAATTATTCAAAAGTGAATTCGATAATATAGTAATGTTTTTTTTTAATGGAAATAGAACCTTAAGGCATAATCTATTTCAATGGTTAAGATCATGAGTCAGTTGGAGCTAGACCACCATGGAAAACCTGAAAGCACTGGACGGCCGTTTCGTCCCATTGTAGGACTCCTCAGCAGTGCGCATCCACGACCTTGCCCCCTGCGAGATTCGAACCCAGGATCTACTGGTTTTGCTCCTGAGCACTTAACCACTAGACCACTGAGCCGACATCCAACGGCCGTCCAGTGCTTTCAGGTTTTCCATGGTGGCCTAGCTTCAACTGACTCATCATCTTAACCATTGAAATTACTATAATATCCACAAAACCCATCTGATAATAATCTATTTCAGTAAGTCTTTATATGAAATAACATTCATCTATACTATTTCTTTTTAATGGTCAGCATCAGAATATATTAACATCCAACTGTACTAACTTAACTCTTCAGTTTAACAACTCACCAAAAAATAAATAAAAGATGTAATTTCGTTTATTTTAATATTTTGGTTACACTTTTTATTTTAAAAAAAATCTTATCTGATTACATAAATGAGGAAATGAAGAAAAAGGGAAAAGATAAGTGAATACAATGTCACACTGAGTTTACATATCTGTTGTAATAGTTAAGTAGATTTATTCATCACTTTTCTTTCATTGATCTCTTCACATTTGATATTGCACATGTGTGTATATCAAATTTTCTTTACAAGGTAATCATTCAAATATATATAAATTTCATAATACTAATATCTAACACTTAACAAACACACTTTGCTTTACAATAAATCCATCTATGAAATAATAGAAAGTTAAAAGAAGAAAGAGGCAAATAGTATGTGTCGATATCCGTGTGTGTGTATGTGTGTGTGTGTGTGAAGGAAGATTACACTTTATATATAATTTAAAAACCTCGACGGGAGCCATAAATTTCTGGTATATTCATTAAATGAAATAAAATAGAAGATATGTGCTCTTTATATTTCATGTTGGTTTTTGGCGAATTTTACTGACATTCTCAGATCAACACTAACACAATCTCTTTTATTATTATTTTCTTTTTTCAGTTTGACAAAATCTAAAGTATACAATATGTAATCTTGATGAAACTGAATCTTACCACTTAAATTACTCTACTGAAATATAGTCAATAGAAAGGTAAGTGTATACAGTCATTTATTGTGCCACTCAACCTCCATATATATACAAGTCAGTGTGTAGACATTGTTGTGCTTCTCATGTGTGAATACATTTTCATACTGTTTTCTGTTATAACGATCATTGTTGTTTTGTTATTCCATTTCTATAAGGAACAAGAAATGACACGTGATTTTTTCTTTATTTTACAATATTTTTACATTTCTAGTTTTAAGTCATGAAACATATTCATAATACCTGATTTTATATATCAATAATAATAAAAAGGAAAATAAAAGAAAAAAAGGTATCAATGTTGTTTTTCTTTTTGTGGTTGTTGTTCAATTATTGAAATGATACACCTGTCTTAAGAATCTGTTTCCTCTCTTCTCCCATTTGTCATTATATATATACAACAGACAAAATAGACGTGAACTTGCTTACATCAGCATGATAATTTCATTTTCAGAACAGCAAGGAGGTTTTTAAAAATATTTACAATTTTTGGCATAGTCACATTTGTGTTGATTTCTATGATGATGATGACGGCGTGTGTATGTGTTCATATGCGTTTGTATATGGAAAATTTGTAACTGATTTGACTTTGTTAAGGTCTTGTAACAATAGTGGATTTATTCCAGATTTATATTTCATCCATCACTTATTTAATAGAATGCCATTGATATGTAGATTCTAAATGAACCAAATTGTTGCTGAATATTTGATAATAATAATAATAATAATAATAATAATAATAATAATTTATATACAAATACTAAATAATAAGTGATACTGATTTAAAAATCCATTGTCATTTATTATGATTTTTTTCAACAGTTGAGATCATGTATCAATTGAAGCTAGACCACCATGGAAAACATGGAAGCACTGGACGGCCATTTCATCTTATTGTGGGACTCCTCAGCAATGCGCACCCACGATTCCACCTCGCGAGATTCGAACCCAGGACTTATCGGTCTCACGTGCGAACTCATCCAGTGGTGTTAATGTCTGTGGAGTCCCATACTAGAACAAAACGGCCGTCCATTGCTTCCATGTTTTCCATGGTGGTCTAGCTTCAATCGACTTATGATCTCAACTACTGAAATTACTATAATATCCACAAAAACCCCCCTTCTGATTTTGTTGTTGTTGTTATTGAAAATCCTTTATGAAATTTCTGCTTATTAAAACAATAAAAGTGATATTAATGTATTACATCACAATTTTTCATTATTCAATAAACTGAATATTCAAAAAGAAAATATCATTTAAAAATTCCTACTATTTTAGATACTTTTCATATTCCACAATTAGATATTCATATCAATTATCCCATAGAATGATCAAGTTTAAGGCAAATTATATAAATTATGAATTTCGAAGTGTTTTGTAACATTAAATAATATTCACTTGGTATTGTTTGGCTTGTATCTTCCCATTGAGGTTTAAGACTGCAATTGATCAGGACTCAGTAGCTGAGTGGATAACACGATGGCGTTTGAAGCGAATGGTAATGGGTTCGAGTCCCAGAGTGAGTATCAACTCTGAGATGCAGGTACATCCAGTTGACGAGTCCCAGATAGGACGGAACGCGCGTCCTGGATTCCACTACTATCCACTATCCATTAAATAATATTGTTAATCTTAAAATAACTACTATGCAATGTTAAATGTTATGTTAAATAAAATTATAATATGAATAATCAGAATAAACAATGGATAATAAAGAGTAAGATAAAGATCATAACTACAAATCCGATCAAATGTTTGCTAGAAGGTTATACAGTGATCGGGTTTTAGATCATTAATTTGAATATATGACTTTAGAACCTGAAGAGAATTTATTCAGAAGAGTATTCTTCGTTTATATATGTTATTTAAAAAAAGGTTATCTAAACATCCAAGAGTGTAAATCATAGTCTGTAATAATAGTATTACTAAGAAAACTAATCTGTCTTAAAAGTTACATGGATATAACTCAGAATACTTAGTAACATTGAAATAGAATATAATTTCAGTATTCACGATAGTGATATATTTTACAGATAACAAAGATTAAATGTCATTTTTTTCATCTTCTGAAACATTTGTATTAATCTGTTCAGTGAACCATTTTAAACTGTGTTAAATGTTAAGCGTGGGTTTACAGAAACTGATTGTTTTTTTTCAGACTTTCTTCTATAATCAGGTAACATCCATCCAAAGTCTTTTAGTATGAAACCATTGTGTTGTCATAGTTTAGATATTTCTGTGATACACACTCTATTTTTTGGTATGCAAACCAAACTGACATCTATTACATATTCGAGGTGATGATTACAGTAAATAATAGCTGGGTAATATTCTAATCTTTCGAAACTTGAAAATTTTAGATAGGAGGATTAGTATGAAACTACCAATTCACCTGTTATATGATCTATAAGAAACCCTTTTTTTAATTCAAGGATTGCATTTCTGAACATACTCAACTTATGCTTTCTAATTTGTAGTTATTCTGTAGTTGACAACGATTTATAATAATGGCTGTACTTTTCAAATAAACGCCTTAATAGCATGAGGAAGTATTGTGATTTATCCATAACAGGTTACTTTTCATTCTTTTTCTAACTCGTTGATTGTAATCTTTAACTCAATGAACTGAACTCATCTATTAATTCATACAATGTTATTTCTATTAAGAAATCTTAATAAAGTAATTCTAATGTGAGACATTAAAGAAGAAGAATGTATTTGTAAAATCTCAGTGAAAGAATTAGAAGTAAATCCAACGTTTCGTCTAACAATCTGATCCAAGATTTTTCAAGAAAATGTAACTGTCAAAATCGGGGTAATATTTAACCACAAACCACATCATTTAGTAGTAGTATACTACTGAACGTATGATCTTTAAAGTCAAATGTAAAACGGTATAATGGTCGAATATATATATATATATATATATATATATATATATATATACCTTTGATTTTTCTACCAACAGTAATCAAATTTCTGCCAGTTTAATATAAATGGTAATTATATTTATATCACTATGGTCACAGTGAATATGAATTCATTTGTATCTTGACTATTGTTTGTATGTAGATGTTGAATTATCTGTACGTGATACCATTACTTCCTGCTGTGATAGAGTGAAATATCTGGAATATACATTGCTTTTTTTTGAGTGGTTATCAGTGTACTGAATATTCGTATACAAATAGATACAGATACATATCCGTAAATAATATCCATTTTTGTGTATTGACTTGTGTATCTTGTCGATGAACATTTATAGTTTAAATTTACAAGCTTCTGTCTAATGGAAAATCTCTTTTTACTTCTTACCAGAATTAAGATTAGTTAAATCAATGTATTAAGTGTAGTAAAGGAGAGAAAGTGAGGAATTGATATGGTGCAATACAAAAAAAAGTTACGGAAATTAATTTAATTTCTATGTGAAGAAGCAAACAGACAAATTCTTATTGAAAGAGATAAACAAACTCTAAGTAGAGAAATAATAGGCATTACTACTAGCTACAATATGAATATATAAATTAATAAACCGTCATGTTCAATTTATGTATATACATAGTAATAATATAGGTGATTGACACGTAGTGATGAAACATTATCAGTCAAAAAAATTGTTTGGCATATATGAAAAGATCATGTCTATCATTTATCATTGTGTTATCATTACCGTTAATTTATGTATTTCCACCAACCCCAACGCCCATCGATAAGTTGCACAAATTATTACTTTTTTTTCATTTTACCTTGTTTATTCATTTCCTTTTGTGTTACTACACAAAAGGAAATATCACACACACTCACATAGAATTCAAATGGATATCTACATATTTAGTGGGAAATTTTTGTGTGAAATTAATAGAATATTCTTATGCCCAGATCACTTATATAACTTGAAGTTCTTATTCATTTTGCAATCAACACTTAAATTTCACAAGGGCATTGTGTTATCTTTTGATCATTTTCCTTAAATAAAGATCAACATTTATTTCAATAAAGTCATAAGCATAAAGTAATAAGCTGTTTATAATATTTTCAAGTAGTGACATAAACAAAATATGAAGTTAGACATTAACACCGTTGGCTGCCGGCCGGCTCAGTGGTTTAGTTGGTTAAGTGCCTGGTGCGAGACTGATAGGTCCTGAGTTCGAATCTCGCGGGGTGCGGGACCGTGGATACGCACTGCTGAGAAGTCCCACACTAGGGCGAAACGGCCGTCCAGTGCTTCCAGGTTTTCCACGGTGGTCTAGTTTCAATTGATTCATGATTTCAATCTGCGAAAATATGATACCTTTATTGATAACAGTGAGATAGCTATTAACAGTCAGAGAGAGAGAGGACATTAATAAAACCAATAGTAGTATTAGTAATGATAATAAATTTCATACACTATAAGATACATATAGAACAGTTATGTTGAAAATATAACAAAAAGTGAACCACTGTATTTACATTTAAAAATTTCTGGACTCTTTTCTTTGTACAATCATGAATACTGAAGTCTTATCCTACTGAAATCAATTATTCAGTTCTCATCAGTTTTACAATAAATCTTTGACTAATAATAGCTTCTAATGAAAATGACCATAAAAAGACTTTTTTTGGTTCTGTCAATTCAAGGATTCTTTAAAACTGCAAGCCAATATCATCTGAGGATAGAAGTAACCATGACTAACATGTAGTTGTTAATATATCTTTACTATCATATTATTATTTAAACAATTAATACCATTTATAAAAAGTAATTAGTCAGTAACGAATAAAATCATGTCTATCAATTATCTTTTCATTTCTATATATTTTAATGATTAAACAGATTGTGTTAGTTTTTCACTGTTAACTATTGGCTTTTGTATTCCGATTCATATTCATTGTGTTGTCTGTATGCATCGATAATTAGATAGACTAGAAGAAAATGTCATATATATATATATATATATATATATATATATATATATATATATCATACATTGAACACATTATTTGTATATCTTCCTTCAGTTACATTGTACATACTTCTTCATTCTAGTAATTCAGTTGTTATTCCACTTGCTTTTTTGTTTTTATTCCTCTTCTCTTGAATTTGATCTTTTACTGGCTAACATTCCAATTCTGCTCTTTGCTACATACTACTTATGTCTATCTGTATAAGTAGCGTACACCAATATATATATTATCCAATGACTTAAAGTGATACAACCTACATCAATCATTATCGTTCATATAAAAATTCAACATATATATATATACATCAACAAATAAATGAATGAATGATTTACCAAATAAAAATGAAATATATTTGTCAGTCAATTCTTTAGAAATATGTAACCGATAAAACCTTGGATACTAAAATAAACTATAAAAACAATACAAATATACATAGTGAACTATTATAGTAATTATATATATATATTTATTACAATAAAGAAATTTCTCCTCTTCTCTCTTAAATAAGGAATTGAAAAGTAACGCATTAAAGAGGAAACTAAAGAGAGGAAAGAGAAAATCGAAGATATAAAGTATGTCTTTAAATAACTAACAATTGGTTGAATGATTCAATACAATTCGTTTCTTTTTCACTAGATTTGAGTCAATTCATAATAATCAATGAAGCATATTGAAGTATGAGTTCAGTATATGTCATGTATGTTTTTTTTTTGTTTAACCGCTTAAGATCTTTATATTTTATTACATAATGAATTAAAATGACAAAGGCTACCTATGTAATTGTCTATAAAGAAAAATGAGGTTATTTCAATATGTATTCTAGATAATATAAAAGGAGATAACATAGAGATTATCCAAGAAGTGAAAACTTGAATAAGTTTCTATTTATGTTTAGGACATTAAAAAAAAGACTTTTCACAAACGTTAAGAAGTAAGTAAGTAAAAACCATGCAGTAAGTGTGTTTTATTTTCTTAAAAGTAAATAAGGTAATAAATACTATGTAAACATGGAGCAATATAAATAAGGACGGGGGTGTATTTAAAACCATATTATATCATAGCAATAAGTCTTATAGTATGTACATAACATACACATGAAATCCAAATTATTCATATTGTGATCTTTTGCACTGATTGAAGTCCAATATTGAAGGTGTACTAATGCATTACATAATATTATTATCTTCTGTATTGGCTTTTTTCTAGATGGAATAAACAGAAAATTATTAACTTTCATAGATATTTATTTTGCATTAAAGGAGATCATAATAAGTACTTCTAATCAATTATTTATGAAATATAAGCCAAATAAATTAGTCACAATTGACTGATCACTGGGTGGTGATCAATGTCATGCTTGTCTAGTCCTTATTAGTGCAGGTCGAATCCTATCGATCATGTTGCAATGTGGCTACCAGTCTAGGTGACTCGACACTGCGGGCACTATGTATTGAGATTTAGATGGTAGTTGGAGATAGTCAACAGGAAACCCTGGACCCGGGTTTCGTGCTACTTGGCACTCGTCAGCAAGGTGTACCTGTAATCTTGAGGGAACTGGTGCTCCCTGGCGGATTCGATCTCGTGACACCCAGCTTCACAGTCGGAGACGTTACCACTGAGCTATCCGAGCCGTGACTAACCTCCTGTAGGACTGAGATGTAATCACAATTGATTGATCACTGGGTGGTGATCAATCTCATGCTTGTCTAGTCTCTGACTGTGAAGCTGGGTGACACGAGATCGAATCCACCAGTTCCCTCAAGATTACAGGTACACCTTGCTGACGAGTGCCAAGTAGCACGAAACCTGGGTCCAGGGTTTCCTGTTGACTACCTCCAACTACCATCTAAAATCTCAAATAAATTAGTGTTTTACAGTAGACTGTTGCCAATCTACTCTATAATTGTAATGCTTGGATACATTTGATAATGTTTATCAACAACACCGACAACAAAGAAAAATACTGTTTCTCTATTAGAAATCCTGTATCTAACTTTGTTTAGGTTCTAAAAAAAAACAACCCAGTAATAAGTAACTTTGAACTAGTATGAAATAAAATAGCCATTAGTTCATTATTTATTCACTATCAAATAATTATGAAAACTATATTGAAATAAGTTAATTCATACTAATATGTCTTAGGGAAACACTTTATTTCTGTTAGGACTCGAGTTATACCCAGTAGATTCATTATTGCTTGATATGATAGAAAGAAAAGTCAATTTTCGATTGATTTACTCATTATGAGTTTTATTCAACATTAATTCCGTTTGGATTCAACATGAGGATCATTCAGCGTAGCGTTTGATTGTTTTCCCCGTATGATATTTTCTTCTGAATAATATACAACATTCTTGTATTCAATTGACATGAACTATACTCAGTAAGTGCTTTGTTATAACTGAGTATGTGATCTAATCCTAATTATTAATCAAAATGGGCGTACAATCAATATATAAACCAGTGTATTTTAGACTATTATGATTCGTCGTCGTCATAGTGTTTGGGCCTAATAAATCTTTACCTCTACCAGTTTTGTGTTCTTACTTTCGCATAGTGGGAATTGCCAAGGTCCCTCGTTCCGAGTATAAGTGATCAGCGTTTTTCCGACACAACAATCTGTGACGACCGAATACAACAATTTCATTAATTAATTATTTTTTTAACTTTTCTATAAAAAATATTGTTTTATTCTAATTCAATATAGTGAAAATTCCCATTTTGCCATTTGGTAGATAAAGAAGAAGCGAATTGAGCAAAGAAATTTCTTTTCAGTTAGTTTTTCATCATGGCTCTACATTAATATAAATATATATGATTTACAATAATGAAATAATACTCATCGAGTGGATACGTTACGTAATAATTACATAATGATATTTCTATCATAAATTAACATTGAGTAATTGGAAGAAAGAGGATTATTAATATTCAAAGTGATTATTAAATCAAGAAGTTGCTACGTTGCGTAATATAAGAACCAGAGAAGGAACAGAATTTTTTTAATGGATGGTCAATAGAATAGTAGTTACGTAAGAATCAAGAGATGAATGTTGAGAAGTTGTAAAGTTCAAAAGCAATAGAAACAAAATTACAAAAATTTTAAAAAAAAGCGGAAGAAGTATGAAAAATCGTTCTTATGACGGAAATATTATACTGCCCTAGCCTTTAAATTATCTTAAAAGAACTTTGTTTAATTCATTGTTTTAACATTGGTAAGAATATATATATATATATATATATATATATATATATATATATATATCATACAATTTTCCCGATGTATTTTTTTCTGATAATCCCCATAAATTTTCATATTGACAAAGCAAGGGCCACATTCCTTCAAATGAAGAACATATGGAACTTAAAACAACTGTCAACCAATATCAAAGTCACAATCTTCAATACGAACTTCAAGACAGTTCTGCTGTATGGAGCTGAAATGTTGAGAACCACTACAACCATCATTAAGAAGATGCAAGTATTTATAAATAGTTGTCTACACAGGATACTCAATATCCGTTTGCAGGATACCATCAGCAACAGCCTTCTGTGGGAGAGAACAAACCATTTTCTAGCTAAGGAGGAAATTAGAAAAACACATCGGAACTGAATAGGACATACACTGAGGAAATCACCAAAATGCATCACGAGGCAAGCCCTAACCTGGAATCCTGACGAGAAGCGGAAAAGAGGAAAGCCAAGGAACACATCACGTCGAGAAATATAAGGAGATATGAAAATAATGAATAACAACTGGAAAGGATTGTCTAGGACAGGGTTGGATGGAGCGCTGGTTGGCCGCCTATGCTCCTCCATGAGAAGTAACAGGCGTAAGTCAGTAAGTTAGATTTTCATTTTTACGATCAAATCCTGAATTTCTGTGAAATTTTTAAACTTAAATTTTGTTTAACAAAAAAACAATATCTGAGTGAAATTATGGTGATGTGTAAAGTTAATCTTCAATGTAATTATTGTGTCATTAGTATAATTTACGGGACCATGTGTCTGTTGTGTCTAGCCATTTAATAATAACATATCAATGATACGATGTACACTTTTCAATCTTCAGCTGGTGGTCTGTTTGAATATCTGAGCTATCTGTTCCTACCATCTAGATATTTCAACAAATTATCTGGGTGCTCTTGTTTGTTTTAACACATCATTATGTCTATTAATCACATAATCTATTCCAGAGCATTTATGAAAAGCTTACGACTTTTCACTGTACAAGTTACAAAAAAGTACAATCAACGACATTATGGTGCCTGGCAATATACATTGAAAAGAATGAACACTATTCAGATGCCGATTCTTGAACTGCTAACATCTAAGTGAAGATCAGTCAATATTTATCACAAGGATCGATCAACAAATAAGAAAAGGAAACTTGTTGTAATGCTTTGTGCTGATAATTCTATGTCGTACCAAAAATATAACACTGAATAAAGCTATTTGTAACAATAACAATAATAAAAATTAAAATACAAATTGAGTATGAGGGTTTACAATATATAAATAATTATATGTTCAGTCAATGATTAGTCGATTAATGAGGAATTGATAACATCAAATTGACCTGAACGAAATGTTTATCCAGTGCTTCTAGGTTTTCAATCATGTTCTAACACTGACCAGTTCATGATTTAAATGAAATTCCTTTGACTTATTTCAACATTGAAATAGACATAAGTAGAACACTAGAGTAGAATTCTAGTAAAAACAATTTTCACTTAATTAGCGAAATGTAATCAAGTAATTTGTAGTTTATGTCACGGACTAACCTTAATTAAACAAATACTGAAAACTACGAAGCATCAGAAACCCCTTTTGTCCTAGTATGAGTTTTCGCCTTAGTAACTACCCATAAAATCATCAGGAACCCAACCTTAAACTTTTAGGCCTAACAGCAAGCACTTAACCTTTATACCACTATATTTACATTTCAAATCCCTTATAATAAAGTACTTGGAAAGCACCATGGAAAACCTGGTGGTCTAGCTTCAATTGACTCATGATCTCAACCAGTGAAATTTCTAAAAAACCTCCACAAACCCATTCTGATAATTATTTTAATGTTCTATGAACTCAATTAGATAAAAGATAGACAAATCAATTATAAATTTCATTGATTAAATTTATACCAGGTCAGTTAAACATAAATTTGTGATTTTGTTTCACTTTTAAAACTAATTTGAAAGAGTTATGCAATTTCTTTTTTTGTTTTCTTACCATATTTTATTCGAAACATATACAACATTTTAATCTTGTTCATTAATTTAGTTGTTATGTCTACACCTACCTTATATGTATATGTGAATTTTCAGGTATTGAACCAACACTCCTGTTTATTGCCCCACTCCCTCCAGCCATTTATTATTACCCAGCTGTTATACTAGAATAAAATCATAAGTAGTAGTAATTCTTGCAGTTAGTTGCTTTAAAAGATGATTTCTGTACAACATAATGACTAGAAGTAAACTTAATATAGGGATATATATATATATATATGAACAATCATTGGTATACACTAGGATGTGGTTAAAACAAGTAAAACTGATCACAACAGCTGCCTCATTAAGTTTACAACGTTAGTAATTAAGCTTTTACAATTGATGCATATTATTTAAATATTGACAAACTGTGTAAAATGTAAAGGAAAAAAAGTGTAATCCGAAAAAGTTTTTCCTTATTAAACTATAAATAATACGGAGTATCTTGTGGAATATAACTTTCTTTTTTCATGGACCAAATTATATCTTTGTTTTTTTTTCTATAGTGTTTGACTATGTGTTGTATAAAAAGAGGTGGGGGGGGAATGATTGAAATGTGGAAGTGTATTGGTTTTGTTTTCTCTAGAATGAATACATATTGGTTACCATATAAATAACAGAATAAGTAATAACAATATTTATTATATTAGTAGTAACAGTAGTTGATAGTATCAAAAAAAAGTTTTTTTTTCATACAGATATTATTCGTAGACTTCAAACTTTATTTAACTGTCTGTCAGTATAGAGATAATTGACGAAGTATTTTTACGCATACAAACCCGTTTTTTCTGAATAGGGATTTTAGTTGAGGTGGGAATTCGTTATTTTCTTTAATATTTTATTGGAAAGTATCACTTTTTTATTTAACACTCACACCTTTTTTTTAGAATTTAAATGTAGTTGCACAATTTCGTAGAGAAATACAATTACAAATAATTCACTTAGTCAGCAGCCGATACAGAAACAAATAAATTGCAATTTGATATCGTAAAGAACAATTACTAGAATGGCAACCTTAATCGGTCGTCATATTTATTTTTGTGTGAAATAAGTTGATTCTGTATTTTATAGTTAGAGTGATAAAACGTATGATAACAACATAACTCGGTTAGGATTCCGAGGTACAGTTTTCCTTAAACAATCTAAATTGATCCATCGAACCAGAGGATAGTAAATGTCATTAAAAATGAGTGGGGAGAAAATAGGTTAGTATCTTCACCGCTTTACGAATTGGAATATAATCATAATTGCACAAATTATTCGTCATTTAAATACAATACGTTCAAGGATTTTTCTTATCTTCATGTATTGATTCATTAGTATCTACTAGAGTACGCTTGAATAGATCTGAGAATTAACTCATCCCCCAACACACCCATTACTATTATTTTACCAGTATTACAGTGACAAAATTATGATAGATATTGTGTTCCACCGAATACTCTTTGTGTTGTAAATGATAGTCATCGTTCAAAAATAAGATTTTGTTGAAAAAAGTATACTACTGATAAGTAGTTAAGTTCAGAACTGTACTTTTAACAGGAATCCTCAGAAACAGCACCAGTACAGTTAAATCAATAGTGATTATGATATTATTCAAATTACTATTGTTATTACCAAAAATATTTCTATTTTTGTAGCAGGAAGTTTTAGCTAAGTTCAGTTAACTGAAACTATGGATATGGTTAATTCAGATGTGAAGTTAACATTAGTTTCTCCAGAGGAAACGAGCATTATCACATATGACAACAGATACTTAGCTAAGGTCAAAATGGTTTCCAATGATAATTAGAAGAATTCGAACTAATGTGCTAACTAAGAATTCCCGAAATAGTGCAATTTAAGACAGACCGGACTAGATGAGCACGAATGAACGTGTTACATTTGTAATTCGTAGTCAGCTGGCAATCAAGTACAAAATAAACATTAGTCCGTACAAATACCATATTTTCCCATTCATTGCTTACAGTTATCACATACTAAGCAGTGCTGACTCATTTGTAAAACGACCACACTGAAAGTATCAGTAATCGATGTGCACATGTTTAGGTGAGTTGAAATATTGTATTTACTACTTATTTTGAATATCTGAGTTCCTGAAACAAACTGGATAATCACTAGAATATTGATCAACTCGAAATTAAAAAAAGGAGTTTTCAATTGTGATTTAGGAACTAGTTAGTCAAGATCATTCGCCAAGTAGTATTTTTTGGAGTATGCACCACTTTTAAATAAGATTTTCGAATTATTGATAAATTCCTCCGGACATTCCCTCTGCAACAAACAACTCTAGAGATCTGTCCTGCTCAACAAATAGAATACGGACCTTACGTCAGCGATTCGAGCAGCTGTCACTGGGAGAATTTGCGTTGAATTGAGCAACATGCTGCTTACATCTTCCACTAATATAGAAGCAATAACAGTATCTTCATTTTCAAGCTTGTGATTGCTCATTAAGCGCGGTGATGCGTCAGCATGACCAAAGTCAGAGGTAGATTTGTATTTGATAGTGAAATAATAACCCAACAGCATTGTAGCCCATCGTTGGGGGCGGTTTGCAGTATAAACTGGTATACCTTTCTTAGATCCAGGAATTGATAATAGAGGTTTATGATCAGTGAATAAAGTAAATTTTCTACCATGCAGCATTTTGTGGAACTTTCTAACTGTAAAACTTAATCCCAATCCTTTTTCAATTTGACTGTACTTGCACCCCGCCGAAGTCAACGTTCTGGAAGCATGTGCAATAGCTTTCTCTTTGCCATCTGGAAACCTATGGGATATAACAGCACCGATACCATAATCAGAAGCATCTGCGGCAACAACAATTCCCAGTGAGAGGGATCAAAATATATAAGAAGTAGGTCCAACATTAATGAACTATTCAAGATATCAATCTTCTCAATCCAGTCTAATTCTAATAGATCTAAATCATGCCGATTCGTGAGATAACAAACATCAGTGAACTTGTGTTCCTTGGATTGTACGTTACACATGACTTCTGTTAGCTTCACTATATATCTTGAGGCGTTTCGGGCAACAAGCTCTGTTGGTCGGATGCGTGGGCACCCTAGCTTACGCCACATGATATTGGAAGCCGTGTTCAACTGAAGACGTATAGGTTTTCCATTCACTAATAGGTTTACATACTTCCATTTACTTTGAAAGTCGCGAACGTGCTTTTGATTTGACTCTGTGGCTGTCGCTTTGCATTTCCGCTACGACATTTAGACTGGCGTTTATTTGATGAGCAGTAGCCTTCTTTATAACGAATGCGATGACATTGGCTGCACTTGTGATTCTTGAACGGACACAATTTCACAAAATGCCATGCTCCACAAAACCAACATGGTGATGGAGGTTTGATAGAAGGTTGCTGTGGGCTTGCGGCTCTTTGTTCGGACGATCTAGAGAATCTGAGCGCATTTATTGAACCGAAATCGGCAGATTTAACCTTCTGTTGCACCATGGCGGTATCATGTTTGAGATTTAACAACCGCTGACACTCGGTTGTGACCATTTGTAGTCATATTCGGTTCCTGCTCAATACATGCTCAAACCCTGGCACGAATATCGGCATCTTCTGGATTATTTAAACCACAGATAATAATCAAACATTTAAATTGGTCTGCTGTAATTTCATTTATTTTGAATCGTCCGCATTCTCGACTCACTTTTCCATTATGTTGTAACGGGTGGACTGGAGGTTATGATAAGTAGCGTATATTATCGATCGATTCAGTGACACGGAAGAACACGCAAGGAACGACCTAGAGTCCCGATTGGTCCCGCTTCCCTGTCTAGCCCAGCCAGTTGAGTCTAGAACGCAAGTCACAGCCTCTGAGTTATGAATCATTATATTTCAGACATACTCTATTTATATATTAACCAAACAGACCACATCGTACCATAAAAATAGGAAACAACATCTGTACAATATTTAACGAGTGAAATAAATAACGGCCAATAGGAAATGTTCATTTAACGTCCAAGGACATCATTAGACTTAACATGATAATGATTGCCACATTATTCCTCAGCATTCATAACACATATGTGAGATAATCATCGGCTGGGGATTTCGATATTTGAAAACATTGACAGCGAGTGTTGAATAATGAGTATTGTTCGCCAAAAAATTTAGATAAAATTTGAACTGTCCCATCGTAGGATAAATCTCAAGGATTTTGCGGCAGAATGAAATTCACATATTTGTTATATTCACGTGTTCCGAGTCTTCTCAGGAGTAGGCGAACTTTAGCTGCATCGTCGAGATTTGAGCATTCGACTCGAAATATGTCTTCAAAACGATGAAACCAGAAATCGAAAATAACACCAGATTCAGAATCATAATTGAACTCACAAATAGAATCTACGGTGCTTTCATATTTATTTGATTTAGAAGTTGAAGATGAATGTAATGAGAGATTCTGTGTTGGTGCATTCAAAAGCTTCATTTGATTTGCATCGTTCTGTGCTTGCTGAATTTGTAGAATAGTTTTAAGGTCCCCCACAGAAGCTGTGTTGGTGCATTCAAAAGCTTCATTTGATTTGCATCGTTCTGTGCTTGCTGAATTTGTAGAATAGTTTTAAGGTCCCCCACAGAAGCTCTCATTACATTCATCTTTAACTTCTAAATCAAATAAATATGAAAGCACCGTAGATTCTATTTGTGAGTTCAATTATGATTCTGAATCTGGTGTTATTTTCGATTTCTGGTTTCATCGTTTTGAAGACATATTTCGAGTTGAATGCTCAAATCTCGACGATGCAGCTAAAGTTCGCCTACTCCTGAGAAGACTCGGAACACGTGAATATAACAAATATGTGAATTTCATTCTGCCGCAAAATCCTTGAGATTTATCCTACGATGGAACAGTTCAAATTTTATCTAAATTTTTTGGCGAACAATACTCATTATTCAACACTCGCTGTCAATGTTTTCAAATATCGAAATCCCCAGCCGATGATTATCTCACATATGTGTTATGAATGCTGAGGAATAATGTGGCAATCATTATCATGTTAAGTCTAATGATGTCCTTGGACGTTAAATGAACATTTCCTATTGGCCGTTATTTATTTCACTCGTTAAATATT